CTACTTGTTCGGAAGGGGCCCGGTGTGGGCTAACTCCCCAGCTGGCGACTAGCTCCTTCAGGAGCCTGTGCTGGGGTCAAGTCGCTAGTGTGCGCCAGAGATCTCTCCTAGAGCCCCTTGGGGAGCTGATTTTCCACGCCGGGACAGGGAGCAGAGCGGGGATGGTAGGGTACACCTCAACGGCTTTGGGGTGCTGTGTCTGCCTTGTGCCCCACCGTCGTGGGGAACCCACGCCCCTAATTTCGTGCCCGGGTCTCAGTTCCAAAGCCCTCAGTTCCAGGACGCGGGCTGTAGCCCAGTTTCAGTGGCGCGGGAAGGCGCCTTTTGCACCGCTCCCGTGCCTGGACGCCTGGTTCCTGCTCACTCAGGGAGGGACCTCACCTCAGTGAGGACCTCCGCGCCTCCCTGCAAGCCTAGGTCGTCTCCAAGCCTAGGTCGCAGGCGCGGGACCTGCAGCCGCGATCCTGGTCTGCACTTGCTTTTCAAGCGCGCCGAGCGCGCCGCTATCCGCGCCAGCTTACCGGCAGCCCGGGCTGTGTGCGCGTCTCCCGGGGTCTTTGTTCTTCTCTAATGGCGCCAGGAGCCGTTCGCTCACCGCCGCGGCGAATCCTGCAGGGTTCTCCACAGCTCCCGTTCACGGGGTGTGGTGGCTGCAATAGTTCCTTTCACTCACAGTCCCGCTTACTGCGTCCGTTTTTCTTGTTGGCCGTTTTGGTTTGTTGTTTCCTCCCCTCTGCCGGTCGGAGAGTGCCGCCTCTGTGGGCGGGGGAGGGGAGCAGGGTTCTGCGCTTCTCCAATTAAGTTTATTGATGCAATGTTGGTTCACAACACTATGTATTTGTTTTAGGGATTAAAGGTTCAAACTCTACAATTACATGGTTTTACATCATTCCCACCCCCAAAGCCCTAGTAATCCTCCTCCATGTTCCATTAGATCCCCTCTATCCCCAGCTAGTTTAACCATTGACAAGGGAGGGAAGACCTTTGCTGGATAAAACTCTACAAAGACAGTAAGAGTCAGAATTTTGAAGACCTGAAGCGATGATTATGGCTGATAATCCATAATGACAGCTAGGGAAGAGAGTTGAGGCGGTAAAGATATATGTAGAGGGTCTTTGACACCACACCAAGGAATTCAGATTTTAGCATATGGGTAATGTGACATTGGGTATTCTTAAGTAGAAAAGTGACAAACAACTTGTATTTTATAACGATAATACTTAAATGCTATGGAGTATGGATTGGAAAGAGCATCCAGGAATGCCAATTAAGAGGATAGACTTGTACAAATATTGGCGAGGATGTGGAGGAAAAGGAAGTCTCCTGCACTGCTGGTGGGAGTGCAGACTGGTCCAACCACTATCGAAGGCTGTGTGGAGATTCTTCAGTCTGCTAAAGATGGAGCTTCCATATGATCCAACAATTCCACTCCTAGGTATTTACCCAAAGGACACAGAATCATTAATTCAGAAAGGCACCTGCATCCCTATGTTTATAGCAGCACTGTTTACAATAGCTAAGCTATGGAAACAACCCAAATGCCCAAAAATAGATGACTGGATCAAGAAGATGTGGCACATATACACCATGGAATGTTACTCAGCAATAAAAAGATAAACTCATGCAATTTGCAGCAACATGGATGGAGCTGGAAGGGATCATGCTCAGCGAAATAAGCCAGAAAGAAAAAGAAAAATACCGGATGGTCTCACTCATAGCAGGAATTTAGAAAACCTAAATAAGGGACCAGGAAAAAACCTAATTATAGTACAGTAAAAATCAAAATCAACAAGCAACTATAGGGGCCTCCTCTGGTGGCGCAGCAGTTGAGCGCTGGGCTGCGAGGCTGCCTGCAGCCTCTGCAGCGCCGGTTCGTTCCCTGGCCGCCGGTGAGGGTCCCACAAAAAACAAAAACAAACAAACAAACAAACAAAACAACTATAAACTAGAGACACTACAGGAAGGAGGATAAGAAAGTGAAAATCAAAATCAACAAAAAACTATGAACCAGAGACACTTTTTGGGGGTGGGGGGCGGGAGGGGAGGGATAGGGTCAGAATGGGGGGTTGCAATTGTATGGGAATATAAAAATAAAATTTATTTAAAAAAAATAAAATTTTGTACTAGACAAAAAAAAAGGTGAAAAAAAAAAAAACAAGGGGGATAGGAATTGTATGGGGACTATAAGATGAAAATGCATACATTGTGCAAAAATGAAAAGTGATGTAAAAAATGTATAAAGAAAAATAAAGGTCTGTTCCTATACAAATAGGAAAAAAAATGAAGAGATAGGAGAAGAAAAAAGAATAGAGTTGTAGCTTATGTAAGTCACAAGGTCTTAAACCAAGTTATTGACAGGCACAAAGAACACAACTGGGAAATACTTCGAGGATAGGCTTTGTTAGACATGTAGAGGGAGGAAGAGTACAAAGATGACTTCAGGATTTCAGGCTTCTAATGGGTAAAAAAGGTTAATGTCATTCATCAAGAAAGCATATAGGGGGCCTCTCCTGGTGGCGCAGCGGTTGAGCGCTGGGCTGCGAAGCTGCCTGCAGCCTGTGCAGCCCCGGTTCATTCCGAGGGTCCCACAAAAAAAAAAAAAAAAAAAAACATATAGGATAAACACAATGAATTCTGCTTTTGAACCTGTTGAGTTTGAGATGCCTATTTAGATTAACTAGTTGGCTATTGAAAACAGCTCTGGAACTTGAGAAAGTCCTTTATGGGGGTGAGTGGGCACTTGAATGCTTGACCTAGTAAGAAAACATGAGCTCAATTTAGAAATCATTACATGTGGGCAGTAGCAGAAATCATGGGAGTGGACCAAAGCATTCACAATTGAGATGTAGGAGTAGGGAGAAAGTGGCTAATCCTGGGGGCCACCATGGGAAAAGTGACAGAGGTAAGAGGAAAACCAGGAGGGAGAATAGTGTGAAACCCAGGAAAGAATTTTTTAAAAAGAGACATCATCAGAAGTGTTTAGTGCTGGAAGTCAAATAATTTCAGCACCTTTGCATCTAGGGTTGAAAATGAGAAAATAATGACAGTGAACATGAGCTGGTCTTTCAAGAAGTTTGGTCATAAAAAGGAAGGAGAGAATGTAGATAAGTAGGAGTTCCTTCTTTGAAGGACATCTTTTTCTTCCATTTGTTAGGCATTGACATCAAGGTTACCCCAATAGTCAATCGGTTGTTTCACAGAGACCAAGGATCACCCTCAGGACCTGGGAAGGGAGGGTGTGAATAGAGACAGGGCTGGTGATGGTGGTTATGCTGTAACAGCCAATGTTAATTGAGTATATACCTTGTGCCACAATGCAGACTTTAAATAATTTGCTCAAGGTCTCATAGCCTTTATGAGACAAAGCTGAATTTGAACCTTATTAATCTGGAGCCAGTATCCTTGGGTTAGAGAAGAAGAAGCAGGGTTGGGAATAGATGTAAGGAATAGTTGGTAGCAGTCCTATGTTCATCTGATCTTTGTATCTTCCAAGAAAAATAAAAATCCTCAGCTGACTTCTGGCTTCCAATTGTCTGCTGGTGGTAAGCATAGGAAAATACTTGGTTATTTCTCTGTCCTACAAGGTTTCTAGTAATTACCCCTTGTAGTTTCCTTCAGGAGTTTTCCTTAGCTTATATGAGGTTTTCTAAAAACCTAAAAATATTTTTTCATTGGTGAAGAAAATAAGGAAATAACAAACCTGAGGGGGAGGTTCTGTATTTCTTTTACACAAAACAATGGTGTAAACCAGTGTTACCTCAATTAAAAAGGTAAAGTCACTTTTATGTGACCTTTATGGAAAGATAAAGTCACTTTTATGCGACAGTAACAGTACTCGGGTATATAAAAGGCTGATTTCAGAGAAAAGCCAGACTCTGGCTGTTAGAATCATTTAATTTCTAAAGCAAGTTAGGCTTCTGGGGTGGGATGGGTGGTTCCTCTGATACAGGTCAGGAGGAGGGGAAAGAAGAAATGGGCCAGTGTCTAAAAATATCAGTTAAAGAAGCCAGTGCTGTAGTGTGGCATGGCAACAGGAGTATATGAAATACACTTAGGGGGTTTACACCTGACTCTGCTTCCCCTTTTCTCTTATGGCTTGTAAGTGATAGAAGGTAGATAAAAAGGCTGCTCTATGAAAGGTCAGATTTACACATAATATTTGAAGATGGTAGAATCAAAGTGGTAGATGGGCTTCAAATGTAAGATGAAGCCCTCAAAATAAAAGTAGTTGATTTTTGTATAGATGTATAAATTTCTTCCTCTAAAGATTTTTTTTATGATATTAGTACTTGTTACTATGTAAAAATGCATTTTTGAAATAATAAAATTATTAAGGGATGAATACTAAAAAATATCCTTTTACTTAACCATGAACAAAGACAAAAATAATTTGGCAGGTAACTTTCATTTGAAATATTAAAACTGTATTTGGTTACCAAGTAACCAGTAGATACCAATAATTTGGCTGATAGTAGTTCTTTTATGACAACATTAATGTAAACTCTATATTGAAGCTTTTTTATTAGATGTATATGTACTTTAGCCATTAAAAAAATCAAATGCAGGGACGTCCCCTTGCCTCTGAAAGATGAAGTAGGAGGGATTGGTAGCTGCTTGTTATGTTTTCTATATTGATGGGCAAAATGATTCCTACATATAGCACAATTAGTATTATCTGAAGAAAAGATTTCTATGCTATGCTAAGGACTAAAAATATGAGAAGCTGAAAAAAGAAAAGTTCACTGTGCTATGTTTACAGTTACTAATTCAATATAAATAAATATCTTTATTTTTTCTGGAGAATTTGATTGTTCTGTAGTAATCTGAAATCTTACATACCTTAAACTCATTTTAAATGGTACTTTTAGTGAATAACCTCTGGGCATATTTTTAAGGATGGATTTTTAGGGATGATTTAAACTTCTTTCGAGTCATAGGAAGATAGTACTTTAATTATATAATTTACTTTAATTTTATTTTTGTGTGTTTTTTCCCCTCAGTTTCCATTACCAAGAATATAGCCAAACCAACCCAGCGTTCAATGCAGACTTCACAGAAAACTGCTATAATATTACCAACACAGCAGATCAAGAAATCAGGTCGGGCTAAACCATCAATCCCCAAGAAGAGAACTTCTGTTAAAAATCCCATACCAAGGAAAAAAGGTACAACCTCAGGAAGAAAGGTGAGTGTATCTCCTACTAATTTTTATTATTGATCTCTGTAGTGCCTTATGAATTGTAACATATGGGAATTTACTAGTAAGAGTGTGGTGAGGCCCTTTAGAAACATGTTAAGATTATAGTCTCTTTATGGCATATAGCCATTGAGATTTGGTATTTCTGTTATTGGGTTGACAAAACTTTGAATATGTGTATCCATCTTCTTTAAAATCACATGCAAAGTACTTATGTACATGTACTTAACGTTCAGACAGTTTGTTTTAAACTCAGTATGTGTTAAAAACTATGTGAAATAAACTTTACGTGATTTATACCTCAATAATCCAGGACAGGGAAGGGAGGAATCAGTGTGATAAATTCAGTGAAACTAGAGTCACGTTCTACCTAACTGATTCTCCCAAATAAAAGAACTCTTAAAGCCTGGAAATAATAGAAAAGGCCGTTACTTGAAGAGACTGGAGAATGAATGGAAGCAGAGAGAATCTGGTGTGGGGAGGGGTTACATACAGGAGGAGTATTATACAGAAATCTGTATTTGGCAAAAGTACTCCCCAGGAATGAAGGTGAACTAAAGACATTTTTAGATATAAGCATACTAAGAGAATTCATCACTCACTGGCAAGACAAGCCCTATAAGAAATGATAAAGGAAGTCTATCTGGGTAAGTGACAAATTTTCATTTTTGTTTTTTCTTCTTAATTTCTTTATAATAATGTGACTATTTAAGACAATAATTATAATGTAGTCTTGTGGGATTTATAGAGATGTAGTACATAAAATCATCATAGTATAACGGCTTGGTAGAAAATAAAGATCTGTAACATTGAAGGCTTCAGCATTTTATGTAAAGTGGTACAGTATTAATTTTATATATATTGTATGTTGTAATCCCCAGGACATGTTATAAAAACAGAAATGCAAAAAGTACAGCTAAAAAGCCAATAGGGAAATTAAAATTAAATTCTAAGGACTATTCAAGTAATCAAGGAAAAAAAAAATACCAGAAAGGAGAAACAGGAATAAAACACAGAAGATAAATAGAAAAAATAATGACCCAGACCCAAATATATTAATAATTACTTTAAAAATCAGTGAACTAAACTATCCAGTTGGAAGACAGATATGGATTTTTAAGAAGATTTAAATGTACGCTGTCTAGAGATACACTCAACGTATAAATAAAGGTATGGAATCTTCCTAGATCTATTAGAACTGAATTCCTTTAACAGTATTACCTTAAATATTTCTGAGTTCAGCCATCTGATGTCAGTGTATATAACAGTTCTGCTTTGATTCAACTAATGTTTGCAGTGTGGAACAAAATGAGTATCATTCTAATCTTAAAACACTTATTAATACTAGTATTTTTATTTCAGAAAGCATTCAGAATTTATAAAATACAAATCATAAGTTGATAAAACTGAATATATTTCAAATATAAAATCATAAAGTGAAAAAATCAAATAAACAGACTGTGCTAATGTAAATCATTAGCAAATGAAATTTTTTCAATTAAAGCTAAATTAAACAGGGCCTCCGTGGTGGTGCAAGGGGTTAAGACTTCAACCTATGAAGCTGTCCACAGCCACTGAAGCACGAGTTCAGTCCCTGGCCAGGGAGCTACCCACATGGTGCAGCAGACTTCTGACTCGCCCACTGCTCCCCTCAAACAGTCAGTCTGCCTGTTCTGCTCCTCACTCTGTCTCTGGTGAATCCTCTCACCCCTCACACCTCTGGCCTGTACCCCAGTTCTTGCATGCATAAATAAATAAATCTCAAAAAAATAAATTAATTAAACAATATGAAGAGTTAATGAAATTTAAAGGGAAATAATATTTTAAATCCATTTATAAATTAAAATATATCAAGATCATTAATGCATATTTTAATGCATATTTTCTAGCTGCTGAAAGTCTTTGTGATTAGTTGATATAGTGATGAAGATATAATCCCAGATAGTTTGTTTTAACTCTATTATTTTCAAATAATTTCAATGCTAGTTTCACAGTTCTGAAGAGGCCTTTTTGAATGTTTATATGGTGGTGGGAGAGGGGGCAGATAACTATACTTTCTTGGTATAAACTATTTGTTTCAAAGGTAGCATTTCAGTTCTCTTTCTCTAGCTTCATTATTTCATCATAAAAAGATGAAGATTCTCATGCAGTTCCCCACATTCCTGTTTCAGTACTGCCACGTTCACGGTTTGGTTATTTAGAAAGTCTTTGAACTAGCTAGTGGAAGGATTCATTTTGCAATACAGCCTTTCCTTTGTCAACACTCACTTCTCCACCTGAAGGATACTACAGGTATAGCAGCACATTTTCCAAATAAATCTACCTTTATTCACTTTGTCGTATTAATGCAAATATACTATTGTTATCTTGTTAAATCTTAAAGGATTTGGATTTTAGAGTAGTAAAATATTGAAAGAACCATAATATACCAACACAACAATTGTAATTCAATACTTAAAAAAACATGATTTATTAGAATACTGTGAACCCAAATGACAGTCATTAATTAATTGATTTTTTACCCAACTAGAAAAAAAATTAATAAAAATTAGAGCCAACATCTATTTTTAATCCTCACAATTCTGTGACATGGAATTATTCAACAGTTATGCTAACAATTTTGAAAAGAGGATTTTTTAGAACTTTAATAGCCTTCCTTAACTAGGATTCTTTTTTTTTTTTTTTTTTAAATGAAGTACCATTATGTTACATCCTCATTGATTTGTTCACAGTATAGGATTTCTCCCCTCAGGTGTGGCCACTATAGCTCTCCCACCACCAAAGCACTCCCATAGTCCTCCACTATTGTCCATTGTGTTTTCTGACCCATTTTCAACCTTCCTTCTCCCCTCCTGGATGCCTCAGATTCATGGTCAGCTTTCAAGGGTTTGTTTCAAAGTTTGTCTTTGTCTTACCCTTTGTTCAGTTTCTCTATATTCCATTCTTTAGAGCAATCAATTCTTGTGCTTAGCTTGGCACATAGTTTCTGTTCCCTTAAAAAAGCCAAATTAGATGCCAGATAGATGATAGATAGATAGATAGATAGATAAATAGATAGATAGATAGATGATAGAAATATAGATAATTTTTATAAATTGAGGATTATAACTTAGTCTTATTAGGTAATAGGTATTAGAAAACATGAGTACATTAATTTAGCTTCCTGCGGTCGACCAACCACAATCAGGGAACAAGGCTGCCTAGCTAGGAACCTGGGCTGTCTGTGCCTCTCAAACCGGATATGAAGATCTCAATCCTGTCTGTGGACCCATAAGCAGATCTTCAGTATCAATTCAGACTAATCAGTCTTGTCAGATGGATGGTATGCAAATATTTTCTTCCATTCGGTAGTGTGTCTTCATTTTGGCTACTGTCTCTTTCACTGTATAGCAGCTTTTCAGTTTGATGTAGTCCCAGTTGTTTATATTCCCCTTTGTTTTCCTTGCTTGGAGATGAATCCGCAATGATGTTTCTAAAGTTTTTGTACAGTCAATTTAAATGCATAAAGAAAAACCCAGCAAAACTGAATGTTAATCCTATTTTTCCTCCTTTGTCCCTGCTTTTTAAATATTTTCTTTTACCTTTTCTAGGCGCAAGAGCCATTTCTCTGACATTGGAAAGCCATAAAAGGTTACTCCAAGAAAACCCCAAGAGTTGATCTAAAACACTGGTGATGTTTGACAATACCCAGAAGTCATTTGGTTCTTACATGCAATAGGCATAATTTTGTGTTGGATTCTAGAAAGCCACTTGTAATTTTGTGACAGTTATGATATGTAATATGGAGAAATGCAGGTTATATACACCTGATCTTTACCAGATGAATGACTGCTTTCTAAATAAAAACTCTGCTCTGATCATGAGTCAGTGATGCCAGAAATTTTCAGACCAGCTTTTCTAGGAATTTAAAGGGTAATTTATATATTTCTGCTCTTTTTTGTTTGTTTTTAATAGGAAAGGCTTTTTCCTGCTTTTTGTTCCACCTCTTCAGCTTCTATAAGTGTACTAGCCAGAGAACGTGGCTTTTCATATGATAAGAATGTCTATTCTGGGATGTCTAAAATAGTGATGTCCACAGGTAAGATGGTATTTTTGAAAGAGTATAAAATTACTAAGCTTACATTCCATGTTATTCTTAATGTCTTTGAAGTCCTGGAAATAAAGAAGAGGGAAAAATATAATAAATATTTCTTTTAGCATGTTTCATATTAATGTTTTATGAAATGCTAGTTGTGCATTTGCTATTAAGTAAAAACAGTGTGCTTAAATATTCAACTCACTTGAAGATTCAGTATCCTTAATTTTTTCCATCTTAGTAAGATCTGTAAAATTTCTACATCATTGTCACTTCTATTCTTATTTCCCTTTATCTTATTTCATAAGCTGTCTTTTGACTTACAGTATTTTTAAAGCCCCCTACCCCCAATCTTTTAAATGCCTCTTAAGATCCTAGCAGACCCTTGCCTGTCAATGTCTTTTATTTATCATCTTCTGCACATTTCCTTATTCCTTTCCTATATTTTAAAGCATGTTCTCTTGCTTCCTTTCCTTTCCTAGATGGTTCTCCTGCTTCCTAATATGCTTTTTTTTATTCTAAGAAGAACATTCATTCTTAAATTTTCTTGAGTGAACCTCTGCATGTATATAAAATATATATATTTCTTAAAATTAATGAGAACAATTTCTTTCGGTCATTAAAGCTTTCGATAGCATATATCTTAAATTATTTGGCTACTTTAGAGACTATAATGAAGGTGCCATATTGGTGATTTAAAATAAATTTAGTCCAAACAGTTTACTGACATGACCAGTTTTAAAAGAAAATTCTTATACTGTGTATACAGTTAGACGGTAAAAAATAATAGCTTAATTTTTTTTTTTTACCATTTTGTGTAATGTGGGGAATATGTGAAGAATTGTTTAATGATGCCACTAAAATTTCTATAGTTTTTATTACCAATTTGGTTAAAATTCTAGAAAATGGAATGAACAGGATCATTTCTTTTCATGTTAATATCTTTACAAAATGTGAAAAATATATTTACATACATATTTTTAGGTAGCAGAAACCATCTATAACTATAAGTAGCTTCTCTTTGAGTGAAGCATGGGTAGTGGGATATAGTAATTATATAATGTTTATGTTCCTTTTTAACCAATTCATTGCTTGTTGTATCTGTATACACATTTTTCCTCAAGTCTGTGTCTATATAAATAAAAATGGAGACTGTGGCCCTCACTTGGATCAGAAGAAAATCCAGCAACTGCCTGACCACTTTGGCCCGGGCCCGGTTAATGTGGTTCTTCGGCGGACCGTGCAGGCCTGTGTGGATTGTGCCTTTCAAAGTAAGACTGTTTTTGGATTCCTTAAGCCAGATCATCGTGGAGGAGAAGTGATAACTGGTATGTTCATCTAATCTTTTATTCAGCTTTTTTCCCAAATTTGATTTTAGGTTTTGAGAAGGCAGGGATTTTACAGTATTTATATAATTTTATAATATTTGTATTCTCTTAACTATAATACTGAAATATTTATTATATTGATATAGTAGAATAGTCATACTAATTACATCTTTACAGGCTTTTAACTCTTGTTTGGAAAGTTTAAAAATATTTTGACAATGTCAGAGATGTACTATAAATTGAAGTAAAGATATGTATAGATTGTTACTTTGTTACTCTCACTATAGGCAAAGTACCTATCTTGATAATATTTTATGATTAATTTAAAAAGCAGACTGATCTGCAAAAGGCTCTAGATAAAGATGTACTCAGAAGTAATTGAGAGATAACATACAACTAATTTTCATGTTTGTGTGATGAGATACTACATTTGTACCCATAAATGTTTGTAATAGCAGGAAATGTTATACATCAGTGGATTTCTGTTGTTTACTTTGTGAAATTTTTTAAGTGAGAATGCTGTTACTAATACATGCTATTGTGTTTGAATGAGAGGAGCTTTTATAATTTAAGATTATTTCTTCATAAATTACAAAAACGACAAATCAAACTTAAATATATTTCATAAATTGATGGTTTTTTGGTTGATGTTGTAGTTTTCATCTTTCTGTAATATAATTCTGACATCCTTCTCCCTATGCTGCCTAATAGCCACCTTTGATGGGGAAACTCGTTCCATCCAGCTCCCTCCAGTGAATAGTGCGTCATTTGCGCTTCGTTTTCTTGAGACCTTGTGCCACAACCTGCAGTGTGATAATCTTTTGAGTAGCCAGCCTTTTAGCTCTTACAGAGGTAATACCCATAGCCCTGCAGAACATGATAAAAATAAATCAGGTACGAGAAAATATTTTTTATACTGTGCTAAATTAAGATGAACCTTTTATAATTAACTTGAAAATCTCGTGCATTTCGGGTTTTCTTATTCCATTGTCCTCCTCAAAGTAAGCATTTTAGCCACAGTGGACTAGTTAGACTCATACATAATTGTTTTGTTCATTCAAAGTGGGAAATTGGGCCTCCCTGGTGACACAAGGGGTTAAGACGCAACCTATGAAGCTATCTGCAGCCACTGGAGCATGAGTTTGATCCCCGGCCAGGGAACAACCCACATGGCGCAGCAGACCTCTCCTGGCTCACCTGCTGCTCCCCTCAGCAGTGTATTTCACTCATTCTGCCCATTCTGCTCCTTACTCTGTCTCTGGTGAATCCTCTCACCATCCACACCTCTGACCTGTACCCTAGTTCTTGTATGAATAATCTTTTTAAAAAAGGTGGGAAATTAATTTCTTGTATTTATAATGAATTTTAGAATGAAAACTGGAAAGGTATCTCATTGTGTTTTGATTTTCATTTCCGTAGTGGCTGATGTTATTGAGCATCTTTTCATGTAGCTTATTGGCTATTTGTACAGATCTTCCTTAACTTAGAATGGGGCTGTGTCCTGATAAACCCTCCATAAGCCAAAGCTGCATTTAATACACCTAACCTACTAAACAGCATAGCCCATGATTGCATTGTTTATCCTCATGATCTTGTGGCTGGCTGGCAGTTGCTGCTCACTGCTGCTGCCCAGCATTGGGAGGCTCATACTGCATATCACTAGCCCAGGAATTGATCAAAACTCAAAGTTCTAAGTCCAGTTTCTACTGAATGCATATGGTTTTTACAAAATTGTCAAGTTGAAAAATTGTAAGTCAGGTCATCCATTGTTAGTTGGGGACTGTGTATCTATCATCTTTGGACATGTCTGTTTAAATCCTTTGTCCATTTTTAATTGTACTTTGTCTTTTTATTATATAGAAAAATTACATATTTTAGTTATATATATTTGTATTTATACATTATCTATTATAAGATATTTATATTTGTTATATATCTATAATTTATAGCGTTCTTGGGCCTCCCTGGTGGTGTAACGAGTTGAGTGCCGTGCTGTGAGGCTGTCCACAGCCTCTGCAGTGCGGGTTCGATTCCCAGCCCACCAGGGAGAAACCCATATGGTGAGACAGACCTCTCCTGCCTCATCTGCTGCTCCCCTCAGCAGTGTCTTCAGTCTGTCTGCCTGTTCTGTTCCCTGCTCTGTCTCTGGTGGGTTCTCTCACCCTCCCATGCCTCTGACTGTACCCCAGTTCTTATATAAATAAATAAATCTTAAATTATATATAGAGTTCTTTATATATTCTGGATACAAGTTTTCATATCAGATATATACTTCATGTAAAGTTTTTCCCATTCTGTAGGTTGTCTTTTTTACTTTCTTGATGGTATCCTTTGAAAATGAAAGTTTTTAAGTCCACTTTGTCTATTTTTTTGTTTCTTGTACTTTTGGTGTCATTTCTTAGAAAACATTGCTTAATATAAATTCACAATGATTCCTGTGTTTTCTCCTAAGAATTTTGTAGTTTCAGCTCTTATATTTAGATCATTGATCTATTTTGATTGAATTAATTTTTCTTTATGTTGTGAGATAGGGGTCTAATTTCATTCTTTCATGTGTGAATATGCTGTTGTTTCAATACCATTTATTGAAAAGGCCACTTTGTTGACTTGGCAACTTTGTCAGAAGTCACTTGACTGTAAATATATAGGGTTATTTCTGGACTTTGATTCTGTTTCATTGAACTATATATATGTCTTTCCTTGTGGCAGTACCATGCTATCTTGATTACTGTAGCTTTTTGTGGTAAGTTTTGAAATTGAATTTGAGTTTTCCAACTTTGTCTTCCTTTTTTTTAAGATTTGTTTTGGCTATTCTGGGTGCCCTACATTTGTATGAATTTTAGGATCAGCTTGTTAATTTCTGCCAGCTGGGATTTCAATTGGGATTGTGTTGAATCTATCAATATGGGGATTCTTAACAATATTGAGTCCACCAGTCCATGAACATGGGATATCTTTCCACTTGCTTAGATCTACTTTAATTTAGTTCAGCAATATCTTTCAGAGTGCATACCTGGCACTTCTTCCTTTTTTTTTTTTTAAGATTTGTTTATTTATACAAGCACTGGGTACAGTCAGAAGCGCGGGAGGGTGAAATTCACCAGAGTCAGAGCAGGGAGCAGAGCAGGCAGAAGGACCGAAGGACACTGCTGAGGGGAGCAGCGGGTGGCAGGAGAGGTCTGCGCGCCATGTGGGACCCTCCTCTGGTGGCCGGGGAGTAGCCGGGGATCAAACCAGCGCTGCAGAGGCTGCGGGCAGCTTCGCAACCCAGCGCTCAACCGCTGCGCCACCGGGGAGGCCCCTGGCACTTCTTTTGATAAATTGAACCTAAGCATTTTATTCTTTTTCATGCTATTGTAAATGGGATTGTTTTCTTAATTTAATTTTTGGATTATCATTTTAAATATCTAGAAATATAATTGAGTTTTGTATATTAATCTTGCATTTCATAATTTTGCTGAAGTTGTTTGTGTTGGGGGGGTTGTATGTCTCTGAATTCCTTTAGATTTTCTTAAAGTCTATTTTATCTGTTATTAGCATAGCCAGTACAGTTCTCTTTTAAGTACTGTTTGTGTGTTATATTTTTTTCTAACCTTTATTTCCAACCTATTTGTGTATTTATAGTTTGTTTCTTGTAATCAGTTGGAACATTAAAAAAATCCATTCTGCCCACCTGATATTTTACTGGTGTAAACATTTATTTCATGTATATTTAATATATTTACTGATAAGGTATGGTTTACATCTATCATTTTGTTTCCTTCATTACTACCTTCTTTCACGTTAAATAGATGTTTTCTAATATACCATTTAATTACCTAATTTCTTTTACTCTATTTTTTGTGTTATTTTCTTAGGGATTACAATTAACAATTAAATTTAAAACAATCTAGTTTGGTAGTGCCAACTTAATATTATGTAAGAACTTTGTTCCCACTATAGCTCTGTTCCCTATACCCTTCTTTGTATAGTGATTATATAGTTTATACTTTACACATTATGAGCTCCAGGATACAGTTTTATAAGTTTCTGCTTTATGTAGTTGTCTTTTAAAGGAGAAAGATGAAGAAAAGGGTGATGAACACATATATTTACTGGTACACTTTTTTTTTGTGGATTGGATTTATTGTCTAGTGTCCTTTCATTTCAACTTGAAGGAGTCCTGTTAGTATTTTTTGTAGGATAGCTCTGCTAGTGAAGAATTCTTTTAAAATATCTAATTCTTTATTGACAGTATTTTTGTTTTAGCATTTTGAGTGTGATAACCATACTTTTCTAGTCTCTAGTTTCTAATAAGTCAGTTGCTAACATTGTTGAGGATCTCTTCTATGTGATGATTTGCTTTTCTCTTGCTGATTTCAAAATTTTCTTTTGCTTTGGCAGCTTAACTATTTTTTTTCTTTGGTGTAAATATCTTTGAGTTTATCCTACTTGGAGATAGTTGAACTTTTTGGAAAGCTCAATTATTAGGAATCAATCAATATTAGGAAACTTTAGCCATTATTTCATCAAATATTCTTTTTATCCCTTTTCTTCTCTCCCCTCCTTCCCTATCTCACTCTCTTTCTCTCCTTCTCTCCCTCTCTTCCTTTCTCTCTCTCCCCCTTTCTCTTTTCTCTTTGCATCTGAAACTCCCATTTATGTACATTTTGGTATATTTGAAGATGTCCTATAGGCTCTGGGGTCTGTTCATTTTCCCTCATTTTTTCCTGTCCCTCAGACTGTGTAATCTCAGTTGACTTTTCTTTAAATTTTCTGGTTTTTACTTCTGCTAGTTCAAATCTGCTGTTGAACCCCTCTGGTGAATTTTTCATTGCATTTATTGTCAAGTCCTGAATTTCTATTGGATCTTTCTTAGAAATTTTCTCTCTCTTGATAGTCTGTATTTGGTAAGACATTGTTCTCATACTGTAGTTCTTTAGATGTAACTTTTTAAAAAGTTCTTTAAACAAATGTATAATAGGTAATTTAAAGTCTTTCTGTAGTAAGTCCAGTGTTTGGGTGTCCTAAAGGCAGTTCCTATAGACTGATTTTTTTTTCTGTGTATGGGCCAGACTCATCTGTTTTTTGGCCTGTCTCCTAATTTCTTAATTTAAAACTGGACACTTTAAAATAGTATAATGCTGGGGCCTCCCTGGTTGCGCAAGGGTTAAGATGCAACCTATGAAGTTATCTGCAGCCGCTGCAGTACAAATTCGATTCCCGGTCAGCCAGGGAGCAACCCACGTGGCGCAGCACACCTCTCCTGACTCGCCCACTGCTCCCCTCAGCAGTGTACTTTGGTCAATCTGCCTGTTCTGTACTTTGTCTCTGGTAAATCCTCTCACCCCCCACACCTCTGGCCTGTACCTCATCTCTTGTATGCATAAATAAATAAATCTTTAAAAAATAGTATAATGCAGCAACTCTGAAAATCAAATTCCCTTTCCTTTGCTAGAGTTTGTTGTTGTTGGTTGTGCTGTTTGTGTGTTTGAATGACTTTTCCCGGACTAATTTTTGTCAATGTGTGTACCGAAGTTTGCTGAGTTAACTTAGTGGTTGTTTTGAACACTCCAGTAGGCATTTTAGAAGTCTGCTTTGTGCAGAGGCTCAGTGTCAGCAAGAAATGAAAGATTAGGGCCTTCTCAGGTCTTTCCAGAGACTATATCCAACCCTTCACATGAATGTTACCTTCTTTATTCCCAGAAGTATCTCAGTGCTTTCAAAGGCCCATAGTGGACATGTCTTTTTTTTTTTTTTTAAATGTAGCAAGTTCACTTTTCTCTCTAAGATAGCTTCCATTTATTTATTTTTTATTGAGGTATACTTGACTTACAACACTATATTAGCTTCAGGTGTACAGCATAATGATTCCACATTTGAATACATTGTGAAATGACCATCACTCTCAATCTATTTCTCATCTATTCTCTTACCAATTTTCAAAATTATAATACAGTATTAATGCCTACAGACTCCATGCTGTATATTGCATACCCATGACTGGCAAACTTATATCTCTTGATCTTCATCCAACTTTTCTTTTAAGCTTTTTGGTAAGCATTTTGCCAACCCTAACAGGTAATGCTACTTCAGATAGTATCTCCAGTACCTTGGAGATAGGTCTTCATGCAGAGTGGGCTGTGACTTAGGTCAAATAAAACAAGATCTGAGATTGGATATTTTAAGAGCTTGGTCAAATAGTGGCTGTTCTGTAGGGATGGGGCTTATGGAGACCTCTAAACCCAGTGTGCCTGCTCCGGTGATTTCTGGGATGCTAGTTTTCATAGCTACTGAAGTAGTAAAGCTGCTGGTTTGCAAGACTGCTTCAAAACTGTGGTGAAAAGGATTAGAGAAGCTAACATGCTGCAAATTTGCTGTTCTGAGATTCTGCCATTTTTTTGTAATAAATACTTTGATTGTTGTAAGCCTTTAACTAAATGCCCAGAGTTTTGATTAAGTTAATTTTACCAGTGTTTTTATTATCTTTATGAAGGAGTAGATTATCAGAGGTCTCTTTTTCAGTTATCCTGGAAATACTTCTCTGTGATGACTTTTAAAATACTTTTGTAAATTATCTGGCATTTTCTAGTTATCTCTGCAGAAACAGTTTCATATCTAATTTACTATAATACCCATATGCAGAAGTCAAGAACCAGTTTTATGTTTGTGTTATTCCCAGATAGTACACCAGGTTTATAAACTTTTAATAAAAGCACTAGAATAGAACAAGTAAAAGATAAGGCTTTTTCTGAACTTGCTAAGATTCTGAGTAAGTAACCTATAGAAAATTATGATTTAGTATTTGAATTTTCTGTATCATTAAATAAGGATGAAAAAATGATTTCTTTCCTTGGAATTTAAATGTCGTAATTATAGAAATAGTTATTTGCTTAAATTTTTTTGCCATTTGATTTTGTAGTCCATGATTAAAAATAAAATGAAGTGGTAAGAGCTCTCTTAGACTCATTAGTCTTCAGTCAGTAACTGGATGGCTAGCAGTTGCAAATCAGATGGTTTTGAGATGCATGCCTGCTCCCTAGTCATTTTGAACCAGATGAAGTTTGACTTTGGTATTTTTTCATTGCAATCTTTTTCCTAGAAATCTATTATCAGACATTTTAGATTTCTATTATGCTTTAGCCTTCCTTTTAGTTGGAGGTTTAACCAAGATACTGGCTGATTTAAGGAGTAATTGATAATTTGAGATGTCTTTACTTATAGGATCATGCCTTAAAGAGTGGTCCTTTAGGTGGAAATGCATTTGTTTAAATAAATAAACACTAGAATTGTTGTAAGGGTATAGCCTTAGACCAGGATTGTTGTTTATAAAATGGGGTGTTGTTTTATAGGTCTTCTCTGAAATTCTTAGTTTTTCTTGCTCTGGGAACAATTTTCCTAGGCCTTTTTAGACATTTTATAACTGGTTGCCTCGTTGCTTCTTGAGATATTTAGAGAAATGTGATAACTCCAGAATAAATGAAACCTATATGTACCCCTCTAGAAATTCTATTAATTCTTGAATATGATGTCGTTGTAGTATTTAATCAGATGAAATGAACTTGTTGTTTATAAACATAATTAATAGTTGATGAAGTTATAATAGGCAGAGGGTTTAGAAAGAAGTGTTTCATGCTGATATGAAAATGCTTTAGTTTATTTAGTTGTAACAGACACCTTTGTTTTGAAAACAGTAAAAGAAGACATAGAAAACAAAGGCATCAAACGACCTTCTGAGCAACCTCTACCTTATGTTGTTCCGCTCTCTCCTAAGCTGCCCAAAACAGCAGTGCAAGCCACTAAAGGTAAATAGTATTTTCACATTAGGATTGGGAAGAAAAGTTTCCCTTGTACCACTTAAGTATACTCATAGGTGGTCTTGTTGGGAGTGCATTTGCCCATATCAGTTTGGAAATTAGGCTGCTGCTTTGGCAGTTTTGTCAACCCCTTCATTTTCTTCAGAACTGCTCAGTTGTCATTTATCCTTAGATTTAAAAAAATGAATTGTAGCAACATTTTCTATTCAGCTTTGTATTGCTAAAAGCTGATAAAAAGAAGAATAGAAAAACTTAGTGCCTCTCTCCAGTGAAAGTTTTAAGTACTGAAGTTGTTAGCAAATGTTATAAATCAGATATGTGATCACATTATAACAAATAGTTGTAAAGATCTGCTTTCCTCAAAATCAATGCTTTACTAAGATGTTCACAGCCTTGGTGGCAAGGCTGGCAAGGGCCTGTTGCCATGAGAAATATAGGAGATATCATAGAATCAATTTGGTTTAGAACATTGTTCATTACTATAAACACCAAGAAGGGAATGACCATGTACTTTGTTTTAGGTGTTTGTGGTTCCTCTATAGCACTGCTTAAGTGAACTGTTGGAGATTAGGAGATGTTTTATCTTTTATTAGTATTTGAGCTGTCATTCTGTTAAAGATAACCACATTTATCTTTTTTCTTGTAGAGGAACCATTGTCTTCTGAGGGCAGTAGCATGCCCAAAGAGGAGAAGCTTTCTGACGATTCCAAGAATCCACCACTAAATCCAACAAGTTTGAATCCTGTGTGCAGAAATCCTATAAGCATACCTACTGCAGTCTCGAAGAATTTTTCTCTAAGTATGCCAGGCACCTCAAGTTCAGCACTATTGGGGACCACATCATCCACCAAGAGTAGTTACCATGAAGTTAAATTCCAAGTGCAGAGGAAAAGTGAAGGTATATTTAAAAATAGTGATTCTCAATCAGTGTGTTTGTCTTTCCCCTTAAGGTTTCTATACAAATAACATCCCCTGAGAGTGTATCACATTGGAGAAAGTACCAGAATTAAAGAGGTCAAGTCCTTCCCTTCACATCACTGTCAGGGACAAGCCACTGGATATGCCAGTCTTCATGGCATCACTGATTTCTTGGCGAATCTGGATCACGAACCATGAGAGAGAGAGAGATGTCTCAGATCAGTGGTTGTTGATCACTTGGAATTAATCATTTCCTTGGGTGTTGTCTGGATTCAAAGTATTCCATGACTCTGAGACCTGGGAAGATACACTCCCTCTCCTTTCTGACGTATGCTCTCTCATCTCTCTTGAGACTTTCCTGGCCCCAACCTATATGTGGCTCCCAGACCTGGGCTCTAGTACCCCACTCCTGCATCCATTGCCTCATTCTCCATACCCTCAGTCTTTCTTTCCGTCCTACCAGAAAGACATGAAATATGTAAACAGGACAGTCCTGTTGCCATTTAGAGGAGCCAGAGAAGCGTTCCATGTGCAAATATAGCTGCTACCTTTGTCCCCTTTTAAAGATTTATGGGTGAGTGGCAGGTAAGGGTAGGAATAGCTTTTTTTCAGATAGGCATCTAGGCAAGGTTGGGGAGTAAAGGAAACAGGAAGCAAGTTACCTCCCTTGCCTTTTATAATGGGTGCTACCTATGGGCAGCTGTACTGTGTACATGCTGGAGTGCACATGCACGTCACTCCCATCTCCTAGTCCCTGTGAAGAGTGTCTCTGCTTTTAGGGTTATGTTATTTGCGGAGTCTGAAGAAGGATGTCTATTCCATGAAAGCATAGTCTATCCTGAATTTTTAGTATTTTCACAAAACATGAGCTTTTGAAGGCAGGCTTTCTCAGTAAAAGGATCTAAAAAGTTATCTCTAATGTTGAACATCTCACTTCCACGTGCCTAACACTGCCATGCCAAAGTAGCCTGTATTGGGCTTGAGAAAGCTAGCTCGTGGGTTTCCGAGGAGCAGAAAGACTAATAGTAATAACATTGCCTACTAGTTATTTACCTAATAGTAATAGAAATCTTCATTCTCTTCATTAATATCTGACAGTACTTGCCAGGCACATAATATTTTATATAGCGTTATGCATTTCATCTTTACATTTCCTTGAGTTATAGGTGCTGGTAAGCATCAGGTGAGAAATCTGACAAGTTTTTTCTAAGGTGCCCCAACTAGAATGTGGTTGGGCCAGTCCTTGAACCCCAGGTATTCTGTCTCCAGGACTGTGCTCTTAACTGCTGTGTTGCCCACATTTCTAAAAAAAGGAATTTCTAGAGAAGAGGTTTTCACTTGGAAACTATCTAGAGGTGATGGTACTATTATTTTCGTTATGGTATTGGATCTGTTCCTTAAAACTGAGTGTACCCCTGTTTGCTGGTGATGGTCACACAAAACTCCTGCTCTGCCCCATTATTTGAATGAAAGAATTTGTTGGTTTTTACTATAGGAAAGAAATCAAAAACATAGTTTGGGATAAAATCAAATCACTTTCATTTTACTAATTTCACAAATATTTACCAATAACACTAGTGTATATAAGACAAAGCTGTGTATAATGTTTGCAACCTTCTCTGATTGTTTTAAAGGTATGGGTCTGATCAAATTATTTTTCCATAATAGATTAAAAATAGATGATCTTATAGCTTTATTTTAACATGAAACCAAAATATCTTTACATGTATTTTATCTGTAGTGATCTGTAAAACTTGTTAAATGTTTTTCAAAACATAACTATACCAGATTCTGAAGACAGAATCATCCCTCAAAGGCATAAATCAGTTTAGAAGTATGATTAGTGTTGTCAATACTTTTTTAAATGAATTGAGTCTCTCTTGAGTTAAACATGACTTTTCTGTCTAAATTGTTAGAATGCCTTAAGGTATAGCGTATGTACACCATCACCATTTTTACTTGGGTTGATATAGCCCAACAGTATTTCTTGGTAGATAAGACCAACATTTTTATATCCACCAACATTTTTATCCACTTTCCTGACAAGTGGAAAGAAGAATATATTTTACATCAAAGTTTCAGTATTGAAAAAAATAAATAAAATTTTCAGCTACACACAAAAGTTGACCATTGTGTATTCTTTTTTCTTCTGTTTTTCTTTGCCCTTTCCTTGGGTAGATATTCAGAATGCTTCTAAAGAAGCCAGTTCCTAGGGGCCCCCCTGGTGTGCAGGGGTTCAAGTCTCAGTGCTATCAAGCAATTGCCAACCACTGAGGCATGAGTTCAATCCTTGGCCAGGGAGCTGACCCACGTGGCACAGCAGACCTCTCCTGTCTCTCCCAATGCTCCCCTCAGCAGTGTATTTCAGTAGATCCACCTGTTCTGTTCCCCACTCTGTCTCTGGTGATTCCTCTCACCCCCCCCCTCCATACCTCTGACCTATACCCTAGTTCTTGTATGCATAAATAAACAAAAATCTAAAAGAAAAAAAGAAGCCAATGCCTAGATGGTAGGAAAGAAAAGGTATCCTTTGGCTAATTAACACCCAAAATGAACAAATTTGTATTGGTGGTCCTTGGTTAAAAAAACAAATCTTCCTAGCAGATTACAAAACCTATACTTCTGTTATCACATACTAAGCTTTCTGGTAGTATAATAAATGAGTACTTGTTTGGATGTAAAGACATTTCAGCACAACTTAGTGAACAGCACAGCTAAAGTTGAGGTATGAACACTTTATTTCATGTCTCAGTTATTTCTTCTTTAAACATACAGCTCTTCAGACAAAATATTTCCATGCCATTAACCTTGAAAGAGGTATTCAATATAATGTTAGTTAACTTCTGACCCAGCTAAACAGAAAACAGTCTGTTTTCTTCAAAATTCAGAAAAGCATTCACGCTTAAAAATAGAAATTTTAGTAAGGCAGTGCTAAAAATATACATATTGATTAAGTACATGGGGGAGATTTGATAAAACAAGTATTTTGGTTCTCCAAGATAATGAGGGTTATTGAAATTCATTGAATAAATTTAGGCAATTGTACAACTAAAATTTGGGGGAATTTCCATTGTATTAGCTAGTAAAATAAACAAGGTAGACAGAGCAAGAGGAGAGAGGTTGAGAGAAATTCATTGAAATACTTAAAGAGTAATAGATTAACTTAGACTAACCTGATTTCACCCTGGTAACAGATCTGCTGCTGTATTTGCCTGTGGCCAAAGAGGCCTTGGGTTGCTCAGTCTGTTTTAATGATCTTTGCAACTATAAGGTAACTTCTGAAGTTGCTTTTATTGTTTTGGAAGGGAGGTCAGATGGGACTCTCTTGTGTAGCCATCCTCAAATCATTTTATTTAGGCTTTCGTTGGATTTTATACTTGGAGTCCTGGGTCCTTGCTGGGGTACTTAGCAGAAGGTTCCAGGAATGAGACCATTATTCCCTACCTAACATCTCTTCTTTCAGGATAATCATCAGGTCAAGTATGATTTGTTTTTTTTTTCCCCCATTGAAGCTCCAAGTTATATAGCTGTACCTGACCCCAGTGTCCTGAAACAAGGCTTCTCTAAGGACCCTTCAACCTGGTCTGTGGATGAAGTGATACAGTTTATGAAACATAAAGATGCTCAAATATCAGGCCCCCTCGCCGACCTCTTCAGGCAACATGTAATGTATCTTTTGATCTGGTTTTCCTGCCGTAATGCCTTTGAATGACCTCTGTGCAGGCCCTTCAGTTGGATACTGATTAGTGTGGATGGTGGGGGAACCCTATCAACTGATTTTCCATATGTGAGAAAGGTTGTGTTGCCCAAAGTTAGATCCTCAAATGGTTAAGGCTGGATCTGTGCTTTAAATGGGTACCCACATACCTAAAATACTACAAGTCTTCAAGTTCTCAAGAGAAGATGATTCAGCAAGGCCACTCTCATGTGTCTTCTCCTTTGTAAGGATAGCTGCAAGGATCCTCCTCCCACCTGCTCCCTGCTCAGCTCCAGGACCATGAGTAGGAGGGAGTTATCAGAGCCATGACAGGGTATCCTCCTTGTTGTGATGCCTCATGAATCCAGCAGCTGTATGAGATTAAGTGCAGCTTTATTTTAAATAGGAACTTATGAATACAAAATAACATGCTTCCATGTCATATATTTGTTAATTTTAAGAAAATAAAGAATTTTAGGAGGATGCCTTGTGTCTTAAAACTACGTTCGTAGTCTTTTTCTGTCAAATCAGGATGGGTGACCAAATATTTGATGTACATTTTCAATATTGTAAGAAAATCAGTAATTACTGTTAGCATCTAATTAACTTGAGACAACTGGGTAGGTTTTCAACTTAAGGACAACTCTGTATAGAACATTTACAGTTTGCATTGATGCTAACATACTCTATTTCCAGCCTTCCTAAGAAAATTAATGACCGCCTGAATTTCCTTTCTACAGTTCAGTTTGTGCCTTTTGCCATTGGTATTTAGTTGTATTTTATTCAACACACTATTATTTAAAATTAGATATTTTGGTGCTTTGGTCTTTTTTCAAAAAATACTGGGTTAAATTAGCTTTTTCTTAAAATTTGAAGTGATTTATGAAATGCTTCACTGTATAAATTATATTTTTAATAGTTTTCAAGAAATAAATCATATTCAGAGAATGTATATCAACATACGGCTGCTCTGTTTTACATGTTCTTATATATAACTGTTTGTGATAAAATATGGAAAGCATTACTCATTATTATATTTTCTCTCTGTAGGAGATTGATGGAAAGGCTTTGCTACTACTCAAGAGTGACATGATGATGAAGTATATGGGACTGAAGCTGGGGCCAGCACTAAAGTTATGTTACTACATTGAAAAACTTAAAGAAGGAAAATACAATTGAAAAAAAATGTGTAAGTTTAGATTGGACATAATTCTCAGTGATATGGATAACTTCTTAATTTAAAGGGTATTTTATTCTCTTAGTTTTTGTTAAGTAGCCGGTTCCTCTAAAAATATATCCAGAATCGCAGAACTACGTTATGGTCCAATCTACGTCTTTAGAAACCATTTAACATGTTAGTATTAGTATATTAGAATATTCAAATTGGACATTAGTTTTTTTATGTCTTTTTATTATTTTTATTTACAAATGTACTTCATGCAGGAAACAAACACCTTCGATTTTGGTCAATATTTATATAGAGAACCAAAACAGCTAAATCCCAAAGGGGGAATGTACCAGTAACTGACAAGTTTTCTATTGGAATTCATGAGAAATTTTCCTTAGGAAAGAATGTAAGGATGCACTATACATATCATCTCTTTCTCAGATGTTTGATGTCTGTTACTGCTACCTTGTGCTCTACCAGTGTCTAGAAAGGAAATAGCCATATAAATTATTTTCCTTTCGTTATTGTTTCTCTGTATGTTTTATCTGTTCATATTTAAAAAAAAAAAGCAAGGTTATAAACTTTCATAAAGTGTTCTTACCAGTTTTTGATACATTTTGAACAATTATAGGATAAATACAATAGTTGTTTTATGCAAGAGACCTACTACAAGGGGGGTATTTGGAGAAGTCCGAATACATTTTTTCAATAATATATCTATTCTTTTAAAACTTTACGTATTTTCACTATGATAAGACATTTAACTAAACATTCATTTCTCACATATATATGAATATACACCTGTGCCCAAATTTTAAAAATATATATATTTTATTGTTTGTGGTTTATTCCTCATATGAAACTATACCATATTTATGTTATTCTACAAATCTGTATTTTTTTTGAATTTAATATGGCACTTTGCACTGCCACAGAGGTGATGATAAACTGTGTATATAGTTAGATGTTATATTCTCTGAAAAACGTGTATCATTTGCTATCACTAATACCTCTCAGCTCAGTCTTCAGGGGTTAAGAAACAGTCTGTAGATTGGTTTCCATACAGGGAAGTTCTCTGTCCTATGCAATGTTGTTAGTTTGCTTAGTTCTGAGCCAGTTATTCTGCTAAATTTTGAAAGATGTATTAGTTCTGACTTAACCATTTTGGGCTTCATATTTAAAGTTAGAACTTTTAAGGGGAAATGGTGCTATATGTTTATTATTACTTTGTATAACTTTTGGTGTAATGTTTGTAAGCTATGAGAATCTGCTAAAAAGTAATAGCCATTTGTTGTAAATGCCCGTAAAATATACACCAGGGGCAAGAATGTACATTTTCTCTTTTAGGAAACCAAATGTACTTTATACAAGAATGCAACTATTTAAAGAGTAATTTCATCTATGTTGTTCCTTTTGTGTTATAAGACAAAATTCTAATTTAAACTTGGCCTTCCTTCAAATTGTTTGTATGAAGATGCTGTGCCCAGCTGAACAGTCCTCAGGTGTTTGTATTAATATTGTTCTACAGTTTTCAGATTTTAAAATATAATAAAGTTAAATAACTACAACAGTTAATGTCAAGCCTCAGATTTGATTTTACTTGCTTTCACTGCATTACATTAATGTGAGTTTTGTTATAGTTGAAAAGGAAGCAGTGTCTAGTAAGTTTGTGGTTTTATATGTCCAAATGCTTGATTGAGCACTTGACCTCTACCTCTATCTGCAGGTAGATTCCGGGGAGCAAAAGGTTGATTGCTTGTAGGGATTTTAAATGAGGCTCCAGGGGTGCAGTAAGAAGTTAAACCATTGATCTTGATCTGCTCAGAACTTCAGAATTCACAATGTTACTGATGATGCCAGTGTGCTAGAAAATGCCAGGGCCCCCAGCTGTCTCACCCCCTCGAGTTCATATGTCAAGCTGCTTGGTATCCTGGCTGCTCTTACGTTGGGAGCCGGAAGCCATGGTGCCTCTCTGCTGTCAGCTCCCTAACTTACAGGGGGGACCGCCCGGCAAGGCTTGGGTGTAGCTGAATGGCCTTCATGCTCAGACCTCTCACCCCACCAGGGCCCCAGGAGCTTCTGCTCAGTGCTTTGGAGTCAGGAACTTCTGGAGACGAGGCCCTGGCTGAGGTTTGGGGATGAGTCGTAACCGGCTGGGATGGGGTGTCGACCTGCTAAGGCTTCGGCGATTCAGCACCACTTGTTTTCCACTGTCTGCTCTGTAAACTTTTAGAGAATGGTCATGCCGGGTTAGCCCCCTGTGAGCGCTCAGGGTTTTCAACGGCTCTTCCTCCAGTGTTGCCTCTCAGTCCATCCTTGGCCTTCCGTGGCCAGCAGAATCCTACGACTCGAGCACTGAAGCGCTCTGGGCACAGGGAGCATTTACTTTCCTCTCTGTGACTTGCAGTCTTTGGAAAGTCTTCCAGCACGAGTTCCAAAGTAGGATTTCCCAGAGTTTAAAACTCGGGCCCCTCGATACATGTGGAAGAGCCAGGCCTTTCTGTAATACTAGAAGTGAAAAATTCAACGTCGTGACTAGCGGCTGTGTAATTGGCAGGAGCAGGGCTGCTTGTTCAGGCCACAGAGGGCTTTTACTTCCAGCTGAGTGAGTGAAGAAAGTCTGAATTTCTGGGGCTGTTTCTTCAGTGGGGTGCTAGGACTTGCCTGTATTTCTAAGTCCACGGAGGCTGAATCCAGGGACTGTGGAGTAGGGGTGCAAACCAGGGCCTGCCTTTGGAACACATGGCGGAGCTGGCCTCCCCTAGCTCCCCACGCTTCCCCCATCTTGTCCAGCAGGTTGAGGACACTGGGCCTGGAAAGCAGCTCTCTCGTGAGCGCAGACTCAGGTTGAGCTTGCCCATTCTCCCTGCTCTGCTAGAGCAACTCTGGGGTTAGGGGATCACCTCTGACTTTTGGGGTACTTGGGAAATCAGGGGCCTAATTCCTCTCCTTGAGTTGCCTAGAACATGATGGAGGTGACCCACACTCAAGGAAAGGAGAGGCTCTAGCTCCTCTCATGAGCCAGTTGGGAGTTAGCTCCCAGCAGCTGGGAGTGCTGCGGTAATACCCGAGCAAGCCAACCAGAGCATTGAATGAAGGATTCAGATCCCCAAGGGCAAGGGGACAGCCAAGGGAGGGTCATGGTCTCCACAAGCCCTGCTCCCCTTTGCCCTCATGGCTCTACCTGCCTTTGGCTGGCCTGGGCTGCTCAGTCCTCGTTGCCAGGGGTGGGGGGCACGTACTCAACAAGGCACAGAAGTCAATCCATCGGGATCAGGACAAGTCTATCACATGTTCCTTCTAGATTTCTATAAGATGAGAGCAACACCACGCTTTTACATCTGTCGTTGGGCTTGACTAATGTGTAGCGTTCTGAAGTGCTGGGTGGTGTTGACAGTCACTCCCACCTACCTACACTTCTAAGTTCTCTGTGCTTTGAAGCATAGAGCCTAGAAGAGGCATTTCCCACACTCCCTGCCCGATAGGATGGGGTAAATTCTAGCATGAGAGGCACTCTGGTGATCTTGGAAGGAGGATGGTGAGGATAAGCAATTGTTCTCTGGTGCCTTCTCGGGACAGCCTTTGGGCATGAGCAGATGGCAGATGTGGGTTTGGCTAGCAATCTGAATGTCATGCTGAGATTCACCCACTTAGTCAAGCAGGATGCTGAAACCAGGGAGCGTCTCTCCAGTCCTTATACCCCTGGGTCTCTGGAAACTTCCTCACCCTGGCCTTTTCCTTTCCGGTAGCATGTAACATGTGGCTTCCAAGTGTCTTGTTTCCTCAACCCAGAGGTGACTTGCAGCACTTTTGCTCAGAGCCCACTGGTGGGACAGGTGGTAAGACCCTATGTAGGTGCAAGAGTGCTGGGAAGAGTGCTTTTCCCAGAAGTGGACGAGAACAGGAGAGATCTGCTGACACATAGGCTTGTTTCTACCACAAGGTTTTGAACATTTGTTCAGGCTTAAGGGATTGCAGACGTGCTTGGGGGCTGGCCAGGCCCGTGGCCTAACTGAGAAGCTGGCTGGGCCTGGTGGATAGGTGTGCACAGGTGCCTGGACTGGGGGCACTGTATCTGACAGGAGGCCCCCTGTTCTCCGAAGGAAGGCAGTTTCCTTGCAGTTGCTGCCATGCAAGCTTTTGAGGCTTGTGTTACAGATCTTACAATTTTTCAAAAGTAAGCGGAAATGCAGGTTTTAATGTGAAGTCTCTAAATTTTAATGTGAGCTTAAGTATGTGAAAACAGGCTAAACAAAATGTGCTTGCAGGCCTAAACCTATGTGCTGAAGGCCTAAGATCTTGACTTTGGCCCTTGATCTTGGGGTCTTGAATGGTTCTTTGTGTGGTAGAGCCAACCCCAGTTTTTAAGAAGATTCTTGCTTCTGCCTGTGAGCATTCTCAGTCCACCTGGGTTCAGGTTCAAATGCTTCATCGTGGCACCACCCCAGGCTCAGCTGGCCCCTGGAGCACTTGGGCCACATTCAAAGGACAACGGATTCCCTGCATTCTAGGTCGCTGTCAGGCTCACTCTGAAGTGACTGAAACACAGAGTGGTCTCTGGGAGTCATTGTGAACTTGGAGAGCTGAGCAAAGTCTGCGACAGGAGGCCCTCGGGTCAGCTTTGGATGGGGTCCCAAGGGCTGTGGGAAGCAACCAAACAATTATAAATGGGGAGGGAGTCACACAGCCAGACTTTCTGGACAGATCATTCTGGCAGTGTGGAGGGTAGAAAGGAGAACTCAGCCAGCAGAACGGTGGCCAGTGCATGGTGCCCTCCATGTCCTTCCATCCAGGTACTTCCTTGGGATCCCAACTATTTCACTCTACTACTTCCGGGCTCTTCTCAGAGGAGGGATGGCTTGGTGGGGGGGTTGCCCCTTTCTGTTGCGTTCATTCTGGTTGCTAACAGTCCCCCGCACAGCCTCCTTTCAAATAACAGAGCTCCCAGCCTTTGTCAGGTCTTCCTGGAACTTTCTGGGCTGAGGTTTGTGTCATCTCTCTCATGGGCCCTCTCAGCACTGAAAGGTCCGGGAAGAATGCAGGCGCCCTGCAGAAGCCTGGAGACTGGCGATCTGGAGTGGCGGCTGCACACCCCAGTCACATGGCTCTCAGTGCTAAGCAGCAGAATGTTCTGGGCGTGTAGAGGCGTGGCACCACCATCAAGGCCTGGGAGCAGGTGAGCAGATGTGGAGGGCTCCTTCCAAATCAGTGGCCCCCAAAGAGGCGAAGGAGCCAGGGACCATGGGGACTCAAGTTCCTCCTCCCTGCCCCTCCTTGCAAAAGACAAGTGACTGGGCTCCGGAGTTCTGAGTCTGGTGGTCGCCTCACCCACAAAATGAGATATCAAGGGTGGAGGGGTGTCAACTGTGTAGGGGTGTGCTCAGCTGGGGAGGGGTCAGCCAGGGGTGCCCTCTGGGGGGAGGTCAGTGAGATGGGGGTCAGCAGGGGGTGAAGTTAGAGGGGCTGCTCAGCTGGGGGGGGTGGCATCAGCGATGGGGCACTCAGGTCACCATGCTGCTCCTGGAGCCTCCCATCAGGGGTCTCTGCCAGACTCAGAATGACCTCCTGTCACTCAGCCTTTCCTGCCCCCCCCCCCAAGCTGTTTGTGTGTCACACAATGTGGAGGTGTGAGCTTATTCCCTCTCTGCCCAAGGTTCTTTCTGTCTCTCTGTCCCCTCCCCTCCCCTCCTCTTTCCCCCAACCCTCCCCGGCCTGAGAGGATTATTAAGACACTTAAAGCCACCAAGACCACTTGGGTGGCACTTCAGGGTGGGCAGCGGGTACTGGGCTCAGCCAAGTGTGGGGTTCACCCCCCTGCCTGGACTCTGTGGCCTTTGCCACGTGGCCAGCGACCCTGAGGGCCATCCCCTGCAGGAGCTGAATGGAGTAGAATGTAAATGAAGAGGGTGCACGGCACCCCTAGAGGGCCCCCAGGGCACGTCACGCCCCCGCAGTTGGAGTCTGGCGGGCAGGGGTGCGCGGCTGGAAGCTGCGGCGGCGGGAGGCGCCCCTTTCTCCCTGCCCCCGCGGGGCTTCTGGCCGCCTGCTCGCGCGCCAGGCTGTGGCCCCCACCCGCGGGGGAGGCGAGGACGGGAGGGGCGAGCCTGCGACCCACGCCGCGTGGGCTCCGGACCCCACCTCCGCCTGACACCCGGGGCATCCCCCTGCGCTTTCCCCCCCACTGCGCGGCACCCCCCGCCCGACCCCTGGGAAGCTCTGGGGGCAGGCTCGCGCGCTGGGGGTCTCCAGCTCCCCTGGGGTTGCCAGGCACAGGCAGGGCAAGGACAGGCATCGGCAGAGCGAGGCGGGGCCGTGCTTCCGCAGCTGAGCCCCGGGCGGGCCAGTGTCCTGCGTCTGGGCCTCGCGTCCCCAGCCCGCCGCCCTCCTTCTCCGGCCCCGGGGGGCCCGCGCGCCTTTCTGTCGCCTCCCGGGCAGTCCCACCCCTCAGCGCACCCCTCAGCGCCCTCCCCGCTCGCCTTTTTCTGTCCCCACAAAGGTTCAGCTCCTGCGTTCAGCTCCTTACACTTTGCAGCCGCCGCCCCCTGCCCTTCTGCTGCCAAGGGAGGGGGAAAAGCC